AGAGACTTTACTATCTAATACCTTCCATGCCCTTCAAGTATCATCATCACACAATTAAGAAACGCTAATAGATATATATATATATATATATACACATACATATGAGTTATGTGGCATAGACATAGAAGTGTATCTTTTCACCGGCAGACAATCACGTATTACTGATTGACGTGATAATTTTTTTAATTGATGCCCCTACCATTATTGAAATATATGTATATATAAGATTTAATTACAAATATGTCTATTCTACAATGGATGAAAAAAAAAAACACGTTCAACAGTTATTATATTTGCGTATTCTTAATTAATAATTTTTAAAATCAATTATACAATTTCACAATTACCTATATAAAAAAGAGTATATTTAAAATTATATTATATAGTAACTACAAAATTAACACATTAATAATATTATTAAATTAAAGACATATTCTTGAGGGTAAAAATGATCATTGCGGCTATATATAAAATTAGGGGAGAAAAAGGAAAATAAGCCAAGATTTAAGATGAATTAAAATTAATAGGTCAATAATTTACATAAGTTAATAAATAGGCAAAATTATTATTTTTATCCATAACTTGTCTGATTATAAACCATAACTTGACAAGTTATTGTCCATAATTCACAGTTTTTATCCACCACTTGTCTGGTTATGAACCATGACTTGACAAATTTATTCATAACTTATTTGATTATGAACCATAACTTAATAAATTATAACCTATTAATTTTTATAATTAAAAATTAACTTATATACTTTTTTAAACTTTTTATATCGCTATTTTCTACTATTTCTTAAAACTATTTGCATGAGGTAGGAGGCCACGATCAAAATTTTGAGAAAATAGGGGACAACATGGGCCGAGCCTCAGTCCTCATTCCTCACCCACTCCGCAAGGCCATGAAAACTGAGTCCACATACCAAACCTTGTAGGTCCCACTTGGCCACGTCATCAGTCCCCCACTTTGCATCGCCTGCTTCCTTCGTTTTCTGCCCATCCAAAAAACCATTACTGGCCCTTATCCTTCCTCTCACTTGCCTCACGCGCTGCAGTCTCGCATCTTCGGACGCGCTTTCCATTTTACCGTTATGCCCTTTTCCTTTTCGAATCGCCCTTTTGAAATTCTTCGCACGTGAGGAGGCCATTGTCGTCGTTGTCACGGATTTTTACTTTTAACCTCACGTCTCCTCAAATAGTACAACATTTTTCTTGGATTTGAAGTTTAAGGCAAATCATCGTGGCTAATAAATAAAGGTCACGTTCTCGGATTCGTTACATCATAAATCTTTTTATTTTTTTCTGAACATTACATTATAAATCTTTCATTCGTACTAGCTAGTAGCTAGGCCAAGGAAAAAAACAAGGACAATCAATTCATTTTTTGTTTTACTCTAACATTTTCCATTGTATTTTCAAAATCTTTTAGGCAAAAATCAATCGCTTTTTCATAATCAAAATCTTTTAATTAGTGTTCTTTTTTTTTTAGGGGAAATAATGCTCTATGATTTTGTTTTCTTTGGCAAAAAAGAGATGCATTAACAACACAAAAACAAAAAGGCGAAAACCACAGTACGATGTAATGTTATATGAATTACATTATATTATATAGTCTTATATACTCTTTTAAAATGCCTTTCCCCTCTATAATAATACCCTTCAAAAAATTTAAAAATAACAATTTTTACTTTTTACTTTTTTTTTTTTTTTAGGGGGCTGGAAAGTCCAACAATAGCACTATGCCAAAAGGGAATAATATACTAATGTAGCGTTCTTAATTAATTTAGAAACATTCTTGATCGAGTAATATGTTATAAGGTAAAGATTACATTTTACTTTCTACCCAAAAAAAAAAAAAGAATTACATTTTAGTAACCACTTTTAGGATGCCAAAAAGAATCACAAAAGTGACCTTTCCCTGCTCAGTCAGGGGCATTGGTTCCAAAATATTTTGTCCAATTAATCTAATGGTAAAATTTTTACCCAAAGATTCAACTAAGTAGTCAAACGCTGTTCCATAGTAAATCGAGATCAAGAGTCACTTTCACATGCATGTGCACCGCTGCTTTCTGTTGCTTCACGCCATGGGCAAAAGAAAAAAGATTTGAGGCCCATTCCAGATTTTTTGCCGGACTTAATTCAGCCAAGTGTTATTACCATTAAGCATTAAAAAAAAAAAAAACGCATTATTATGATGGTTCTAGTTCTAGTACCATTAAGTTTGGCATCATTCTCCCCCAAAATTGCGCTAAGTTAGTAGAAATGCACCCATTTCAATCGTATGCAAAATAATGAAAGCGACTTATTTTATTTTATTTTATTTTATTTGCATTACATGCCACTCTTGACTTTACAAATTCGTGAATGTTAGGTTAATTTCCCCAACAAAAATATATATTAGGCTAATTGTTTTTCTTTTGGCAAAAATATTATGGTGTTTAGTATGAGAATTCGTGACATAGTTCAAATCATGATTCGTGACTCACTTAAGTATTTTTTCTTATAAAAAACACACATAAACTGATAATGGTTTTGAATCATGATTCTGAATCCGCGAACTAAACGTTCACTAAGTTAATTGTTGTAGCGTTAATTAACCACCGTACATATATTTGTAATGTAATGCACAAATGCCAGTTGGTGGTTGCAATGAAACAAACAGAACGTTAAGGAAGAGAAGCTACAAAAAAGAAAGTTCATCTAAGATATCTTTTCTAAGCTACAAAAAGAAAGTTCATTTAAGATATCTTTTCTAACTTCACTTTAAAATGAGATCCTCATTTTATACCTAAAAATGATCCCAAAAAGCAAAACGATTATGAGAGGCGGTGCTTAAAAACCAGTAGTTTTAAGGAATGATTAGATCAAAGGTCCCCACAAATCTTCATCTTTAATTATGGGCAAAGAATATCTTGTCTCGTTAGGTCAAGTGGTTGGTGGTAGGTCATTCATTCTTACTAAAAAGCTTATTATTTGAGTAATTTGGTCAGTGTCACTTTTATTTATCCGTTGCGATTTAAACTTACCGACCTTGGAACAGTTTTCATCTTCAAAATGTTCTTTCGTTTTCTTTATTTTCGTAAAAAACAATGAAAATTGACCCCATCGCATCTTGAGTCCTTTTGTATCTATTTGAACTTCCCACCCTTTTTCAGCAACAAAAAAACAAAATTGTTATTTCCAGAAAAGGAAAAGTGAAAATTACCAAAAACTTTCAGGACCAATATAATAGGGTCATTTTTGGCATCATACTTGGGCTTATTGTCCTTTTCCACATTCCAAAGCGGCATCCGTGAAAAACGACGAAGCTTTGAGTGAAGCAGGGCAGAAAGTTGGCGAACCTAAAGCATAAGAGTACCCATATTCCTCTTATGCGTCAAAACTCCGCTATTTATATAAAATAAGTCTCAATAAGTAAAATATAATCTAATAGAACTCATCATTTTTTGAGTATGAAATTTTATTATCTTTAGAATAAATATCATTTTTCAAACTATAATAATCAAATATATAATAATGATTAGCAAAAACTATATAATAATAACAATAACCCAAAGCAGGGCAGAAAGTTAATCCCTGTTTCTTTTAAAAAAATAAAAAACATATTATTGAGATTTCTATTTCTTAATCGCTGACTTTCTTTTTCGGCTGGAAATAATTATGGCTCGACAGTTCAGTTTACTAAAAAATATTTAATGTAGATTTTTAAAAGGTCGGTATGGTCCTATTGCAATTTGGACCATTATACTTTTGTTGTTTAGTTATACGTCCATGTATTATTCTTATTTTCTATCTTGTAACTTGTATTAGGTTTTTTTTTATTGTAAGTTGCATTAGTTATGTATCAATCTATGCATATTTTATAGCTATACGCACACAAGGGAAAAACACTATATATAATAATGATGATAATAATAAAGAATCTTCTTATATTGTCTACCAAAGTGGGGTGAAAAACTGATGATCCTCATCAGTAAATTGCTGATTATATGTGCATCGAAAAAAGAGAATAATTATATCATAAAAAAATAATTATATACCTTAAAAAAACGATTATTATCATATGCCTCTCTAGTCTATGATTTGTGGTTGTGGACGTGGAATGGCCTTCATGCAGCCTGATTTTTGGTATGGGTGCTAAATTATCTTTGCAGGATGTATTTGGACCAGAAAAAAATAATAAAGTAGGAAAAAAAATTAAAAGAAAACGCTAGGAAGGTTCATTTGATGGCAATTATTCCAAATTTACTTCTTGCTTTACTCATTTCAGTCTAAAATGCAAATATTGTGCATTTCTATCACCTAATAAGAAATAATGTATTATAAATAGCAAATAAAGATAATAATAATAAGTATCATGACGTTGAACATTTTCTAAGAACTGGAAATCTGGAATATACGTTTTGCTTGAGTTTAAAATTACAAAAAAAAAAAAAAGGAAAATATCATTATTGATGTGGATGAAGAAACTTCCTAGTACTTTTGTTCAACAATTTTTTTTTTTTTTGGTCGCTGAATAACTTTGAATAATATAGTTGAAAATCGATATGAATTCAATGACTTTATAATTTGACTCGATAAGCAATACATTGCTAGACTTTCAAAAATATTTATAAATGTTATAGAATATTGACATGTAGTATTTATGCTCATCTAGTCACTTTATTATTATATTCACAAATATCTAAAATAAGAATGTTTCACATTTTGGAAACCTGTAAAAGCAGATAAGAGGATTTTTTTACCCATAAGTTAATAAAAAATCCGAAATTATGTTGTTAATAATGGAGAGTTTCCAGTTAAAATGAAAAGATATTATCGATAGTAGTAAATATTCATAAGGCGTAAAATAAAATGAACTAGAAGCAGAAGGACGGGAATGCAAATTCACAGATTTTTTTAAGTGAGAGAGAGAGAGAGAGAGAGAGAGAGAGTCTACTCGTAATTTCGTTTATATATTGATTTACAGAAATAATAAAATATAGGTGCCATCAGATCATGTTCCGTTTTTATAAGTTTCTTTTTGTCTCTCTATCGTCTGGTTCTCCTCTACAGCTCTCCGTAATCGAAACTCGCAAATCAATCAGAATTAAGCAAAGCCTTTTCGAGTCCGACACAGAGGGGGAGAGATAGTCGGTGAGGAGAGAGAAACCCACTGACTCTGACTCAGACAGACAGAGAAGAACAAAGCAACAAACACCAACCAAACGCATAAACTCATCTCTCTCTCTCTCTCTCTACGCACGAATTCACACACAGACGGACTCAGAGCTGCCGATCAGTCCCACGTCAGATCCGGCCAGGTTCTCCGGCGAATCTCCGGGTCCATTGTCACCGGAATGTCAGCTTCCGACGACCTCACCAGGTTCTTTCTCTCTCTATCTCTCCCTCAAAATGTGTCTTTTTTGTTTCTGAGAATTTCTGATAGCTCAAATGTGTCAGAATTTTCCGTTTGTTTTGGCTGGCTTTATGATTCTTTACAATTTTCAACAGTACTTTTTCGTTTATCTGTGGACTTTTAGCTCGTCCTCGATCTCAGTACTTTACGGACCTTTTTCGTCTACTTATTATCGAATATAATTCTCTCTCCTTCTCTCTAGATTTGCTTTTCTCTACCCTTTTGTGCTGTAATTACTGCAGCTTTTCTGAAGCTATTATTTTAAGCTTAAATTCTTGCTTTTTGTTACAATGTAGTGCAATTATTTCTCCCTTTTTTTGGTTCCCATATTTGCACTAATTTAGATTCCTCATATCGCCTCTCTCTCTCTCTCTCTCTCTCTCTCTCTATACATATATATATATAACAACTTAGGTTTTATTTGCTTGCCTTTTTAAATGGTGAGTTCGTTAGATTTTCGAAATTTTGGTTCTTTGAGAGTCTAATCTTGCTTTTACCGTGAGCTTGGGGGCTAAATTAGGTTTGGTGATTTTCTAGGGAGGTGTTTTGAATCGCAATTTCTCTGATGCTTGTGGAGTCCTTTTTTGGGTTGTAGAGTGAAGCATGAATTGATGTGATATTTCAAGTGACTATGCTGAATTTTTGCTCTGCAGAACAACTGATTTGTCTCTATTTTTCTCTTAAATCAAGGCTTTCGTCCATTGTTTGAACAAACATTTCTCTCTCTCTCTCTCTCTCTTCACACACACCCCCATCTGGTCGTACCTTGTCTCCCCTGGGGCTTCGTAGCTTATGCTGCGAAATACCCTATATGATGGCCGTATCTTTTTTTCTCTGACTTCTTAACTTTTGGCGCACAAGTGTCCGGTTCAATTCAAAGGTTATAGCTGCTTATTATGGTAAATTGACTGAGCCCTCTAGTAGGAGAGGTTTTGCTTGAATTCTGCTTGCAAAAGAGATTTTGGTGAATTGGTAAAGCTATGATCTTTTTATGTCTTTTTTTTTTTTTTTTGCAATTTTTTTTCCTGTACAGAAAGTCTTTTGTTTTCTGTTTTTAAAATCATGTTGATTATTGCTATTCTTTTTAGTATTTTGTTTTCTGTTTTTAAAATTATGTTGATTATTGCTATTCTTTTTCTTGGGTTTTCTTAATTATTTTATTTAGTTTTGGGGGCTCTTGCGGTAGTCTATCTGCGAACCTTTTTCTCGCGTAAAATTTTAAGGAAATAAGAGCTTGTATGTTGGACTAATTTATCTTAATTCTTAAATGTGTCGTTCAGCTGTTGAAAATGAATGGGATTCAGAACAGGAAAGCTCTAAACGCGGAGAAGCCTTTTCCAGGATGCTTGGGAAGAATGGTAAACCTCTTTGATTTGAGTACGGGGGTTGCTGGAAATAGGATGCTTACGGATAGGCCTCACCATGATGGTACTTTTACGGGCTGATATTTATGTTTAATATGGTTTTACAAATCTTAAAAAATCGTCTCATTATCATTAGACTTACAAGTTGGTGCTGAGGTTTGTTGCTAATATTATGAAAGTAGATTGTTTTCTTTTCTAAAAGTTTGCTCATCACTAAGACGTTGGTTATTGTAAGCAAATAATTGAAAATGAGAGGAACTTATTGCATTGATGTTGGCTCGTTTTGGCCAAACATGATATGTGGTTATCTTTTTGGTCCATCCTTGTTGAACTGCGCGAGTACAAGTAAACTTTTGGAAAAGCCTTTTTGTTACCTGGATAAGCATCATGCTCAGTTAGTGAGATTCAAAAATATCTCTAACAATGTTGTTATATCTACATGCATGTTTATTATAGCATTATCTATGGACTGTGAAACTACTGTACTAAATTCATCTATTGTTGACATGAATATGATGTTTCTTAGGATCTTCACTGGCGAGGAGTCAATCAGATGTATCAAGAATGAGTTCTCCCTTTGTAGATAAGATAGAGGATAAACTGGTAAAACTTGATGGATTTGTTCCAAGTTTTAAAATTATGGACCAACGCCATTAGAGTTAAAAATATACCATAACACTCTGTGATATCCTGATTTTTATTACTTTTATGGGGTGATCAGATCGTGTCTGAGATAAGAAGGAACTCATCAAACAGGAAAGCAAACGGAACACCAATGAAGATGCTTATAGACCAAGAAATGTCGAAAGAAATTGGGTTGAAAAACGAACCACCCAATGTGGTTGCCAAGTTGATGGGCCTTGATGCACTCCCAAGGCAGCATCCACATTCATCTCTCCAAAGAAGCAATACAGACAGTTATTCAAGGTCTACTTTCGGTCATTCAGGGATGTCTTTAGGATCCTGGCAACAGGAAGGCTTCTCAGATAATAGAATGCAGTTTGACGTTCAACAATGTCCAGAGCGAAATGAATATAAAGATGTCTATGAAGTCTGGCAGCAACCTCAGAACACAAATTATGTAAGAGACGGATCACCACAAAAGGAAAGGTGTAATGCAATCACAAATGACAGGAAAATGGCCCTTGTTCGTCAGAAGTTCATGGAAGCAAAACGCTTGGCAACAGACGAGAAGCTTCGTCAGTCCAAGGAATTTCAAGACGCATTGGAAGTCTTAAGCTCCAATAGAGATCTATTCCTCAAGTTTCTTCAAGAGCCAAACTCCTTGTTTTCTCAGCATCTATATGAGTTACAGTCTACCCCTCCTCCTGAGACTAAGCGAATCACTGTTCTTAGACCTTCAAAGATAGTTGATAATGAAAAATTTTCCGTATCAAGACAGAAGAGTGATAAACATATAAGGAAAGCTGCTCAGACGGGTCAAGGGGCTGTGCGGGACAAAAACAACACCGGACATTCTTCTATATTTTCCAGTCCAAAAGTTGATGAATGTCCTATTCAGCCAACTCGTATAGTTGTATTAAAGCCTAGCACTGGGAAGACTCATGACATTAGGGCTGTGGCTTCTTCACCTGTCTCATCACCAAGAATATTACATGGTGAAAACACTTATGAGGATCCTGAAGATGATGAGGCACGAGAATCAAGGGAAATGGCAAAAGAGATTACGCGACATATGCGTGATAATCTGATGGGTCACCGAAGAGATGAAACTCTGATTTCTTCTGTGTTTTCCAATGGGTATACCGGCGATGAAAGTTCATTCAACAAATCGGAAAATGAGTATGCAGCCGAAAATCTCAGTGATTCAGAAGTCGTGTCACCATCTTCTCGGCATTCATGGGATTACATCAATAGGCTCAGTAGCCCTTTCTCTTCTTCCTCCTTCAGCCGTGCCTCATGTTCTCCTGAGTCATCTGTTTCCAGAGAAGCAAAGAAGAGACTTTCAGAGAGGTGGGCCATGGTGGCATCAAATGGAAATTCTCAGGAGCAAAGACATGTCCGGAGAAGCTCAAGTACTTTAGGTGAAATGCTTGCTCTTTCAGATATGAAGAAGTCAGTAAGAACTGAGGATGAGATTAACAGGGAACAAGAACTAAGGGAATCAGTTTCATGCTTGACTGATGACTCAAACAAAGAAGGTGTTTGTGATTCTCCCTTAAGTCTTCTTAGATCAAAATCTGTACCCACGTCATCTACTGTTTATGACACCAGGCTCAATGTTGGAGTAGATGCTACGGCTGATAAAACAGAAGTTCCAAAGGAGCTGAGCAAAGCAAAGAGCAGTAAGTCATCATTGAAAGGGAAAGTTTCAAGTTTGTTTTTCTCTAGGGGCAAAAGGTCAAGTAAAGAAAAATCTGGTCCTTCTGGATCCTGTAGTGAATCTCAAACTGCCTCTGCTGAAACCCCAAGATCTCTAGTGCCTTCTGGCAAGATTGATGCTGCATCTCAGTGTGGTGATGAGAGTCGCCATGAAGAGTGCTTGCCTCCTGCTCCATCAGTCAAAGTATCTCGGGATGTAACAAACATGGGCCTTAAACAGGGAATAGTTTCACGGGAGGTAATATAATCTTCTTCGAATACGTTTTATTTCAAAATTATGATATGATGATGGTTTTTTTTTTGACAATACATACTACTTTTAGCAGGCAGGGTTGTCTCTTACAAAACCAGCGATGCCTGGGAGCGTAAGTGAGAATCAGGACCAGCCAAGTCCAATATCAGTTTTAGAGCCATCTTTTGAAGAGGATGACACCACAACACGTGAGTCTTCCGGCTACTTGAAGCGAGACCTCCAAGGTAATTTCTCTTATAATGACCAATCAGCTTGCTGTCCTCTTTCTTTTAGGCTTGGTGTCTCATGATTTTTTTTTTTGGGGGGTTAAAAACAGGAGGGCTTCTGAGGTCTAACTTGATTGACAAATCACCGCCTATAGAATCAATTGCACGGACCCTATCATGGGATGATTCTTGCGTAGAGATGGCCACACCATGTTCACTAAAACCCTCTTCAGTTCCAACAGTTGCCGAGGAGGATGAGCGAGACTGGCTTGCTTTTGTCCAAACTCTGCTATCAGCTGCTGGCTTCAATGGGGAGACGCGGTGCGATTCATGCGAATTGGTTTTCTCAAGATGGCCATCACCCGAAGCTCCATTAGACCCTTCTCTGAGGGACAAGTATGCTAACATAGACGACAAAGAGCCTTTGCTTGAGTCCAGGCGGAGGCAATTAAGGTCAACCCGAAAGCTCGTGTTTGACTGTGTCAATGCATCCTTAGTAGACATCTCCGGTTATGGCTCAGACAGAAGCCTAAGGACCATATGCGGTGGGGCCCACGACAGTTTAATGGAGGGTGATACACCCTTGTTGGTGGACCGTGTGTGGGGCCGGATGCAGGAGTGGTTTTCGGGTGAGGTGAGGTGTTTGTGGGAGGATGGTGGGGACGCCAACAGCCTGGTGGTTGACAGGATGGGAAGGAAGGAGGTAGTGGGGGGAGGGTGGACTGAGCTTATGAGAATAGAAATAGATAATTTAGGGAATGAATTAGAAGGCAAGTTGCTTGAAGAGCTGGTGGAGGAGGCTGTTGTTGATTTGACAGAGAGGATTTGAGAGGGGCTCTCTTATTTCTTTTTTGTATTTTGAATTTAGTTGTAACTCTATTATCTGTGTATTTGATTTCCAACAACGATGGTCCTACCCGCCTTATTGTTTAATGTTGCAAGGAAAAAAAAAAAAAGAAAAAGAAAAAGAGAAAAGTTTCAGTCTAAGTCATTTTTTGGTATTTGTTCATTATTTGGTATTTGTTCGTTTGTTTTATGTTTAATAATTGTGTATAGAAAGTTATCCACTGTTCTCTCTGTCCTGATGTTGGATCTTTCCCTTTGTTTTGTTCTGGTAATTTAGTGGAAATTGACTACCAAACAAATTGCATGATTTTAGTGAGATTAAAGCCATGCAGTGAACAGGAAACTCCTCTGGATTGGTTTGGTTGTTTTCTGCAAATTTTTAGAAATATCTTCCCCCATACTGAGTTTGCATGCCATCAACAGCTGTCATAACACATGAATGTACAGTTTTTTATTGTATAGCTCCTAAACTGACGTTTCAAGGGACCCAATTCCATTACAAAAGAAGAAAAGGAAAACCCCACTCAATAAAGACGAATGCACAAAACACACAAATCCCACCAATTCTATCAATTTCAACAGAAAGAGATTAGCGATTTTAGTTCTACGTTAGTCGGCAAATGGGATATTTCTTGACCTCAAAGGTGAGTTTCATCTCAAAGGCGACTCATTATTGTGCTCCAATTTCGTTGCTTTGCTCATAGGCACTAATGCCATTAGGATATATCGTCATCTCATCCTTGACACGCTCTTTTGCCATCTAGGTATATTCTTGTAGAAGAATTGGTTTTTATTGATGCTTTCGTTTACCTTAATTTTTCGCCAATGATTCTCTTTCAAATAATGCGTGAATAAGACTACATGATAAAACCAGTTCATTGGCTGATCATAATTGTAAACTTCAACAAACACCACTCTCGACATGTTAGAACGCATTTAGATAAGATACCGACTAACTGTTCATTGCTATTTGGCAATCACATTTACCAGCAGCGACGCATAGTGTTTTGGCAATGTGGGCCTAATCTGACTCCCCACTTCAAAAAGAGTACCAAAAAGAATTAGTTGATGTTATGTGTCCCTGAATTCTCATTGATGTAAGACCTTTCTTGACAAATCCAATTAATGCCCTCCAAAAAAAAACAAAAAACCGTTAATGTTCTCCATCTTCACGGAGGCCTTGGAAACCATCCCATGCTTAAAATAATAATAATAATAATAATAATAATAATAATAATAATAATAATAATAACAAATAAATAAATAAATTTATGGACCATCCCAAGTAATTAAAGATTGGGGGTAAAGAGAGAGGGTCGTACAGTTGTGCAATCATGTGCCAATTCCCCACTTAGTAATCACTAGTGACTCATGAACATTGATTATTCATTTACGTTTATACACTTGGTAGTTTTATTTTTGTTTCAAGGGTCCGCACATGGAAAGAAATTAGGAGGAACAAAACTGTGTCAGACAAGTTGGTGTGCTTGTTGTTGAGAAATAAAGAGTGAAAATTCTTGGATGCTAGAACTAGAGGAAGAGAAGTGCATATATGCGTGAAACAATGAATTAAAGGTGAAGACGTATTCTTCTCGTTTGCTGAAACAAAAAATAAATAAATAAAAATACTTGGTTGTAACTTGTAATAAATATAGGAGCAGTTTAAGGGATCTCGTGACTCAGATGGTATTAAATTATTGGCGCCCCATGAGTATGACCGGCACAGGCACTAGACAAACGCAATTAAAGGGAACACGAAAAGAGAATCAATCTGTAACTGTAAGCATAGTCTCAGTTTCAGACAGAGAAACCTACCATAAATTAATTTCTAGTTGCCATTCTCGATGTGAATTCTCAATTTCCATCTCATCTTGGTTAATGGTTATATACGTATACACTCACACACGCGCACATGTGGCATTCATCTTCATACACATGCATGCCTTATGCATATCTTTACTATAAATTATATAATAACTAGAAATCTACGGAATTCATTTTTCTTCAAGGACAAGGAACAAAGGAAATGTTGATGGATTTAACACGTCTCTTGGTTGGACAGAAGAGATATAAAGGAAGCGGCCATGGCTGATTCAAGGACGTGAGATTGCTTGAAATGGTTTAGGATTCAACACTTCATGTTGTCTTTCACTGATCATGTCATTTTTCAAGGTCATTGTCGTCTCATCAGGTTCACACTGTTTCTAGACGTTATCGTCGTTTATACGTTTGATGTCGTTCCCAGTATTAATGTGCCTCGTTTCCAATAATTTTATAGTACTTAAAATATACCAGTACCATTCTGAGCTTTGCATTCTATTTATAGTTTTATACACTGTCTTGTTCGTGCCTTTTGTCGCTTCCTTTTTCACTGTGATTGTGTATAATGTTCACAAAACACCTCCTTTTTTAACAATTAATTACTCATTACATCTTATCTTAATGGTACAGAACTTCCATTTCCATACATTGGCAAATAACACATTTTTATGTCTATACACATTATGACTTCACAAACGCAAGAGCTCCGAAAAAATAACGAGTTAAAAAACTAGCTAAGAATGATACATATGTACTCTCTCAATTGTAAATGAGAAGTAGAAAATATAACCTCTGCAGCACATTTTTCCCTGCAGTGAGATGCAAACCTTCCACTTTTATCACTGCCTGGATTTCGGACTCCTCGATGCATTCTGATTCAAAGAATTATAATTGTTGCCGGCGTTCAATCCATACTGCAGCACGTATATGAAAGTGAACAGGTAAGAAAAAAGAGCACAAAAAAATATATATTCGTGCTGGTGAAATGAAAGGAGATCCATATATAGTTGTTGAATCGTTTTTAAGTTTCACTTTGATCCATCGTATTAAGTTACATGTGCCAATACCAGTAATTTATTGTGACTTCTAAATTAAAAAATTAGCAGCACCACCCAAACAACATAATTCATACAGCACACTAACAATACATAAAGGATTGGATACCTCAATAAATAAATGAACGTGATTGATTAAATCTGAAGGTGTGTTATAACAGGGATTTTCCTCAATCCTTGTTAGAAATTCAGATTACAATGCATGTGATGACAGGGATTGTCCTCGGATCCTTGTTTGAAATTCAGATAACAATGCATGTGATTGCAAAGCCAATCTCTGAGTATAATTGTTGTAAAATCAAAATGCTAGAGGAAAATTTCTACCAAAAATCATGCTAAAGGAAAAATTACGTTGATAGAATGGTATACTCCCATGCTGCTGGGTAAATAGAAGTTAAGGTCATATGAACGAAAATCACATGCATTTGATTTTGTTTTGACATGCAATGCATACAATTGCAATTAGTTTAATATATTCAGTCAAAAATAACAATAAGAATAAAAGAAAACTTTATGCCAGAGATGGACGGACCACGGAATAAATAGCAGCAAAGAGTGCAGAAATTATTGCGACGAGTTCCAACTTGAATATATCCATTAGATTTATGTTCACTACTATAGACTTCATATACGGTTGTATCACATATGCCAACTACCTAAAGTTAAAAACTTATCCACTTGGACCACATCTACTTAGCTGTCATTTGTCTCCACATGTAGCTAAAACCTTACTCTTTTCTCTCCTCTTGTCAAAATAAAGGGTTGTAATAAAAAGAAATCAACATTACATCAACAAATTTTATTTGGGATGGTAATGACTCGGAGAAGTCAATTTTTAGGATTGGAAATCATCTTTAGTAATTACTCCTAGTCCTTGAACACATACCTTATCTCTTATACGTGAGCTCCAGATGTCAGAGTGATTCCCTCTCCCATCACCCCTGGTTGATCCAGATCCTTGGCTTGACTGTGGATTTAGCAGTGGCTCCCAAGTTCTACCCCTACCATTGTAATCATCTTCGAGATCATCGTCAACCCTTTGACTAGAAACAGTAGAGACCATGGCCCGCAGAATTATAGCTAGTAGCAGAGACAATGCCTGAAATAATTGAAACAATAAAAAAGAAGTCAATTGAATAACCATACAAGAGAAATTTATCTAATATGCTAAAAGACACCCGTCGCTTTTCCAAAATACTAAAATACTCATGAATAGATCCACCTCATAAGCAAACATATGACTTCATTGCTGGTTAAAGAAATTTATGAAATACATCTAAATTTACTGTAAGATACCTGTATCGAAACCACAACGATGCCAACCCACTTGCAAATGTCAATATTATCTTCAATGAACAACCGAAGATTCTGAAGTTGACCGGTTGGGTCAAATGGAAGATCCTGACAGGTATCATTACGGATATTTCTTAACATGATATACGAGGATATAAATCCATGAACATACATAACAGAATTATAAAGAGAAACGATGCAGAAGAAGAGGGTAAAAGAAAAGGACCTTTTCCCAATGATGATCAATTGCAATGAATGCCACCAAAGCCGCTTCAAGAAGAATGACTACGGTTTTGAGGAGAGTGTACTTATTTTTTTCATAACGTTAAGGAAGCAAAAGAGTGAAACACAAACATATAAATCAGAAATTACAATTAAGTTATTTCTACAATGCTTGCAAAAAGCTTCCCCCAAAAAAAAAAACAATACATAAAAAAAAAAAAGAAAAAAAAAAGAAAGGAGCAGTATACTTCAGAAAACTTAAATGTGATGCACCAAAATCCATTTGGTTTAGAACTTGCGGTAAACATTTTAACAGCATAATAAAGCTAATCCACTACTTTGTCTGAAATCTAAAATAAACAGCGCAAAAATAGAAAATTGAAAATGCAAGCTGCATCTCTTTTGTGAGCATTTCACCAAGGTCCAGAACATAACAGTTCTTACTGAGCAAAATGGTCACACAGTTCACCTACCACGCTCTACAAAATTATAAGGTCTCCAACTATTTTCTCCTAGTACTTTTACCAATTGCACACAGCAAACAAACTGATCAATATCCCCCCAAAAAAAAAAATACATACATATATATATATATATATATATATATATATATCGTTTTAGCCCGCAATCAATGCATATGGTGAGGATACAAAACATAGACAACAGCCATTAATTGCCTCAGCTGCAATGCAACCTATGAAAGTGATGCAGCACATTAAAATCCCCACTCCCATGAAAGAGTAGATAAACCTGCCATCAAGATAAAGCATCAAGCTAATAAAACGCAAGTTCCAAAATTTCAACATCAAGCACAATCAAATTCTCTACTTTACAGCACGGACATTTTCAGAGAAGACCAGACAATTGAATCACAATAAAGAACAACCAGCAAAGCAACTTCATAGAATTAAATTCGAAACGTGATCATACTAGTCAAAAGCCACCATGGCACCATCCCATTACACTATGCCATTCATCTGAGAGATTTTTTTTTTCTTTAACCCATAATTCCACTTCCAAACATGATCAAGCAAATTTCAGAGCAAAGAAGACGAAAAGTCGGAGCATTTAAAACGAATAAATTCTACCCACCATTTCAATTTTCAAGCTTGACTCAAATCCTTCAATCATACATAACCTGAACCAATTAATGTTATCTGATTCCCTAGTAAAATTTCACAAACTTAAATTTCAAGCATAAACCAAGAATTTTCCAAATCCATAATCAAAGCATAAAACTCAAATATCTAAACCCATATCAGTCAAGAGTAATATAGAACCCTCCCAATTAAGCTAAAATTGACGTTGCAAACAAAAAAAAAAATCAGAATTCAAGCAAAATTTAAAAAAAAATTCGGAATTACCAAGGAGCTGGAAGGTTCAAGGCACGCAAGTAAAGCTCGAAACCGTCATCGAAGCTGGAAACAAAATCGGCGGCGACATTCGACGGAAGAATCTCGTCGGAAACCCCACCGGTCGTTAAGAGCGACGAAGGAGGAGAAGAATCCGGTGAAGGAGCGACGGGCGGTACCGGCGGGGAAATTGGAATGCGATCGTGCCACTGATCGAGCATCCATATGGAGTAGAGAATGATGGAGACGCCAACGAAAGCTTGAAGGAAAATGAGGAACTTGAGAAAAAAAGCTAGCGATATGTGGCAACAATGGCGTTGCATTTTTTTTTTGGGCTCTGAGAAAACCTGCAATTGGAAACCCTAGAACAAGAACGGAAGCCGACGATTCGATCGATCGGAGAATTTTATTTTGTTAATTATTTTTGTTGTGTGTTTGTGCTCTGTCTGGTGTTCGCTTTCAGAAGGGAATATGCTGTTGTCCGGATGCAGTTTGATCGCTTCAGCTGGACCAGCGTCAGCGTTGTTCAAAAATCTTATTAAAAATTTTCAAAAAAAAATCTCATTAAAAAAAATTAAATTAAATCATTAATTATACGGATTCATAGATTTAAAATTATGATTTAAACTCATTCTCAATTTATGTATATTTTTAATAAGAAAAAAATACTGTAACGAACCACGAATCATGATTTAAATCATGACACGAATTCACTAATCAAACACACAATTAAACCCTTCAAAAAAAAAACTCCTCCTTTTGTTTTAACAGCTCAAACTATTGTTTAGAATTTAAAATTAAGTTCAAAATTCAAATTAGTGTTTAGGAGAGAAAAATTTAAAGACAATTCAAACCATTAATAATAGTTTAATGACAACTCAAATTGTTAATTTTAAAATTCATCTTCACTTAAATTCTAACAATCTAAATTGTTATCAACAATTCAATAGTTATAGATTTTACATTTTCTCCATTTTCAATTTTAATCTTAAAAATGTCATAACTTCTTCGTTTAAATTCCTATTAAGATGATTTTTTTAATGTGTTCATAATGAAGAGATTAACAAATCTCTACCAATATTACATATTTATAATGAGATTTTATAAAATCTATTACAAAAGCTAATAACAGTTTTTAACACTGTATACAAACACATTTTAGATTTTATTCACAATTTAAATTATAATTTATTTACATATCTAAATAACAGTTCATATCACAATTTAAATCACTACAATTTAAATTCTATCAAATCTCTATAATTTTAATTATTGAACTAAATAAGCCAAAAAAAATAAAAAAAATAAAAACGAGGAATAATAGACCTTGACAAAATTGACTACTTTTTTCTTTAGGAAATTGACCACCTGTTTTTTCCTTACTTTTGTTTTTAAGCTATTCAGAAATAAAACGTTAATAAGTTGACCCCTTTTTTTTAGCATATTTATTTCTTAAATTTACCCTAATTTAGTAAATTATCATTTAAATTTTGAGTTCATTTAATTCGTTTATGTAAATTTATATGATAATTTTTTATTAATTTTTTTTTAAATTTTTTACTATAATAAAACTCAAATTCTAAATTTAAATCAATAAAATAAATAAAAATTTTTAATTTTAACAATCAACTCCCTCAATTTATAAAACTGTTGTATTTAACCTCATTTGACAAACTTACGTTAACAAACTAACGGAAAGAGGGGTGAAATTAGTATTTTAATGGTTCATTTATCAAATAAAATAATAAAACCATTCTAGACTAATCTCAGCCATTGATCTAACTTTTTATCTCAACCATCCATTCAATTGCCTTTTTCGAGGAGCTGGCGGTTTGTCCCTGTGCTTCTTCCTGGATACCTCAGGCAACGGTGTGGTGTCGTCCGGCCTCCGTCACCGCCGCTTCCGACGCTGGGCCTCAGCCCTTGCGATGAAGATCCGTCGAACGGAATGGCGCTCTAATAGTCAATTCCGTGGGGCTTGCAGTGGCGTAGGAGTTATGGCCCGCCATCATATTCGGTGGGCCGGCGATGCAATAGCAGAGCCGTTGCTTTCTGTGAGTCCATCAGGTCCGGAGGAAGATCAATCAATAAATGGGGCAGAGATTTTCTGTCTTTGGTGTTTGGATTCAGGGGAAACACGAAAGAGAAGGGAAAAGAAAAGGAAATGAGTGTGCTTATTCTTTTGGACTTTAGCTTGAGTATAATTTTTGAGTTAAATTTAAATTATAATTTAAGTTAAAGTTATAACTTAAATTTGTGTTTAGTTATATATATTTGAGTTATAATTTGAGATAAAAATCTTTTTGAGTTTGTATTTGAGTGAGTCAAAACTTGAATTTATATTTAGATAATATTTTAATAAAAACTCAATACTGATGAAAAATTTTAATAGGGTATATGAGTAGAGTTTTATTCGTCTTTTTATTATCAACGCATAGAAAAAAAAATCATTTCAATCAGAATTAAAACGAAAAAGTTATAGCATTTTTAAGAATAAAAAAATAATAATGTTCATTAATTTGAGTTTGAGTTTCTGAACTCGAGTTGAAGGAGAAACTTGAACTCGAGTTTTAGTCCCGAACTCGAGTTCAAACTTAAAATAACATAAATTTAAATAAAATTATAATTCGAGTTGTATTTTTTTGAGTTTTTTACTCAAAAGAACAAGCCTTTTGTTTTTTCAGTTTTTTATTTGATAAAAAAAGGCATTAAAATGTCAATTTTACCCCTCTTTCCGATAGTTTTTTTAATAGAAGTTTGTCAAATGGGGTTAAATGCAAGAGTTTTACAAATTGAGATGATTGATTATCAAAATTAAAAATTTTAAAGGTAATTTATTAAACCACAATAAATTTAAGGGATAAATATATCAAAAACCTTTTTATTTTCAACCAGCATGACAAAGCGTTTAGTTACTGTTGATTTTTTCCCCGAGATGAAACTTTAAAAATAAAAATAAAAACTTAGAGGAACAAATTTTGAACTTTAATGTTAAGATGGAATAAGGTGTACTTATAATTAGTTTATATTTTCAGTTGCGTGAACTTTTTTTAATTTTAGGCTCCGTTCATTTTACCTATTCGAGTTTTACTATAGTAAAAAATTTTAAGAAATAATCACATTTAACTTTTTTATTACAGTAAAAAACTTTCACATAAAGTCACATCTCAACTCAAATTAAAAACTTAAATCAACGAACTAAATAATATATGATTTGTTATCCCAAGAAATGAGAATCAATTTCTCTCCCGCAAAACAAGAATATACTATTTTCTTTTCTTAAAGAACTATTATACAATGGACAGAAAAAATGAATACCATTATTTTTTCTCGATACAATAAAATGGAGTACCATTATGCTCTTTATTTCTTTATTTACTTTTCTTAAAATACATTACTAATTACTTTTCTTTTTTTGGACCTTTACTCGGAAAAAAAAAAGCACCGGTTGACATTGGAGTAAAAAAATAAGATATGATTTTTTTAAGAGTTTTTTATTATAAAAATTTAGAACTGAAAATTCAAATCGGTAAAATGAACAAGACATCTTTTCATTTGTATTTGGGGGGCAACTTCGTCAATGCATATTCATTATTCTAATTACCAAAGCACAAAATTTGTTAGGTTTTGTGAGTTAGGAGAAAAGTTGTCTTAAAATTTAATGGGCACATTGTTAAAATACCCAGGAAAAATTCCAAAAAAAAATTATGGTGGAAATTTTTAAATTATGCAAAATATTGAGCAACAAATATATGTATATATATATGTGTGTGTGTAAGGAATCTAATTTAAATTCCTCGCCCTTAAATAAAAAAATGACATATTGGGAGCAAAAAAGAGGTGTCATTTTTTTTAGATTTTTGTGTCAAAAGGGACATATATTGGCTCCGTTTGGTAATGCTTTTAGGAAGTCAAAAGCACTTTTTTTTTCAGCTGAAGCTCAAAAATATGTTTGGTAAACATATAAAAATAGATTCTTAAAGAATCTAGAAGCTATTTTCCATCTGAAATCAGAAGCAGCTCACTTGCTGCTTCTGATTTCAGATTGTGCGGGAATCTGAAGGAATACATTAATGAAATTTTGGTTATTCCCAAAATAACCCATCTCTCCCTCGTCCTCGTGCACACATCTCCTCAGCCCCTCCCTGAAACTCTCAGCCTCTCAACCTTCGCTCGTGCTCTCTCGCCTCAGCCTCTCAGCCTCCTCTCGTGCTCTCTCGCCTCACCCTCCCTCAGCATCTGGGCATAGGCTCCGTTAGTATGAATGCCATTGAAGAAACAGGGAGAACGGAAAAGAAATGGTCAAGATTATTTCTTTTTGTCTTGCAATATGCGTAAGTAGAAGGCTGTTATTTGCTCTTGTTATTTTGTTTAACAGTTTTCTCGCTAAACCCAAAT